TGTCAGGGGCACACTCGTCCTTGAAGCATCACTACTCAAGGTTCGTCTCATCCTTGGTCATTAGTGTGAGAAACCACAATCACAATCATATCTACATCCATATAACATCTCATGTCATAACTCAATTCTATATCAGATACACAATTCCATATTACATACACAACAGATAAGTCCAACAAAATAAGGGTTTACACACTCCTCAAGCAATTCACATCTAGATCATCAATTCTTATCAAGTAATATAATAATAACATTCATAAATTAATAAAATAATCAATAGAATTATTAATTTAATATAATTTTAACATAAACAGTAAAACCCTCAATTATTCCAAAACCTAATTCACGGGCACTTTTTTACAATTTCGTTCTCTCTCCCAGATCATCATTCTTACAAATTAAATATATATTTCTAATCCCCAACACATACAGAATCTAATAGTATCATTAATTCCTCAAATAGAAATAATCTAATTTTTCCAAAACCTAACTTACAGGCACTTTTCTATAATTTCGTTCTCTCTCCCAGAGCATTATTTTTACAAATTAATCATATATTTGTAGTCCTAAATATATATAGAATCACATAAGACCAATAATTCTCCAAACAGAAATAATTATAAAATTACTCATAATCCTAAGGGACTCTTACTCTACCCAATTCCCTCATGTAACTCTACATATAAATAATTCACTTTTCTCTCGTACCTGGATAAACAGCAGTTGAAACAACAGAGCTCTCTTGGTCTCCTCCTCTAAGTGCCCTTCAATCTTCAAAGAGTGTAGAAGGGAAAGAAGAGAATGTAGAAGAAAGAAGTCAGAACTGAAAGAAGTTAGAACTGAAAAAATATGATTTTAGGAGTGTCAGAGCACTCAATTTACAGGCATCAGGATTCGCGGAACGGCCCGTTCTAAAATGACACGTCATGTGTAAAATTCACATCCAGAACGGCCCGTTCTCAAATCAGAATGGCTCGTTTTGGGGTTTGCATTAAAACTCTCAATGGTCATATTTTGGAACGGCCCGTTTTGAAATCGGAACGGCCCGTTCTCAATAAGGTTCAAAGGCCATTTCTAAAATCTGGAACGGCCTGTTTCAGCTGGGAACAGCCCGTTCCCAACTAAGAATCATAGACAAATTTTATCGTTTGGAACGACCCGTTCCAAATCCGGAACGGCCCATTCCGGGCTACCAAAAGTAGGTCTATTTAGTAATTTGGAACGGGTCATTCCGGGCTACTAAACCACCTTAATTGGGCTCTTGGCCTAGTGAAAATTGGGTTGTTACAATTCTCCCCTCCTTTTAGAAATTTCATCCCCGAAATTCACCTGAAAACAAAAATAGGTAGGCTCCTCGCATTTTGTTTCCTAATTCCCAAGCAACCTCCCTACCTTATTGATATGCAGCTCTATCAACTTTTCCAAGGAATATCTATTATCAACAAGGATAAGGCAAGTATACTTGATGAGTCTATCCACTATAACTCAAAAAGAATCAATTCTTTAAGCACCTCAGACAAACCTACAACTAAGGCCTATCCACACATCGTCTCGTTTCCAAAATGAGACGTCTAAAGGCTACAAAATTTCTAAAGACTTCGAGCATACTAAACACAAGTACACAAATTACTCTATTACTCTCTTTATCTAAGGCCACTACACTTTTGTTGCACCACTCTGATACATCCTCCTAAGGTCCTGATACATCTTAGTAGCTCCAAAATGAATGTTAAGAGTACACTCATGTCTTCCCTCCAAGATCATCTTCCTAGATTCAGGATTACTAAGCACCCAAGTTTTATTCTTGAATTTCAAAACAACATCAACTCCTACTCGAAAAGGGTTATCCATATTACTAGTAAACTTCTCCACTTGGTTCACCAAGAAAGGATCTAACTCCTGGTTTTCTTTAATCTCATCTATTAATCTATTAGTCCTTTCCAACATACTCAATCTAATGCTCTTAAGGCTAATTTTATGCACCAAGCTTAAGTCTCTAAACTCTTCAATAAATCCAACCTTAAAATCATCAAAGACGATAGGGGAATGGTCATCCTACTTAAGATATCTGCTACAATATCAGACCCTCTCCAAAGATCAAGCACCTAAGTGTAAGTTCACTAGGTATACATACTAGATCTCTAATTCCACCACTCCATCTACACCCAAGTCAAACTCTTATCCATCACCTTATCCTATAGCCTCATATCTTGTAACCAAAATGAATCAATTAATTATACGTCTCCAATTTCCTTCAACAATTCACTCGTTACTCAAGTTATACCTAGTTTCATACTACTCAGTGTAATCTCATAAGACAAACTTAAATATTTAATTTCATCCAAAAAGATCCATCTCTCTAATCATAAGGAAAAATAATGTAGAGGGTTCCTACTCAAAGCATCAACTATCACATTGACTTTATGCAAATAACAACTAAGATTGAAATCCAAGTCCACAAAAATTCCAACTATCTCTTTTGTCTCATATTCAAGTCTTTCGGGTCAAACAAAATTTGAGGCTCTAATGATCAATAAATACCTCCAGCTTAGAATCATATAGGTAGTGTCTCCAAATCTTAGTGTAAATATAGGTAATTCCTCTCATGAATTTTCAATTGCTTAGAAACATAAGCTATTACCCTTCCTTCTTATATCTACACTACCTCCAAATTCATCTTAGAAGCATCACTATATACCACATAAGACTTACTAAAATCCGGTAACATTATCCAATCTTTCCTTAAGAGTTTGAAACCTACTCTCACATTTATTATCCCATACAAAGGCAACTCGATCTTTCCTAGTAAATCTAGTCAAATAGTAAGCAACCTAGAGAAGTAAGCGACGAAATGCTTTGGGGAGTTAAAAATAAGCATAGGTCTGAGGATCCTTGATATAGGTTAACCTTTCGAACTACTGTTGAATTCATGGGTAGGCAAAAGACAACTTAGTGAACTGAAACATCTTAGTAGCTAGAGGAAAAGAAAGCAAAAGCGATTCCTGTAGTAGAGGCGAGTGAAATGAGAGCAACTTGAATCCAATTTAGATAATATTTTCTAATCACAATCTAAATTTTAAATCATAAGATGAGTGATTAATTCATCTCAAACATTAAGTACAAAATCAAATCACTAAAACCATACTTAATAACAAAAAATCATTATATAAATAAAAAAGAATTATATAAGAGTTTGATAGATTTATATTTGATCCCAATAAAAAAACTGATGATGTTTGTGTTGAGACTTAGGATTTGGTGAGTTTGTGGGTGAAATTCTGATAGGATGAGACATTAGGATCCATAGTTTAGGATTTGTTTTTTTTCCTTACTTGATTTATTTCATCTTCATTAGAAAACGTTGTTAATACTTGAATTTATGTATTATTTTTGGAAAACCACTATGATCTAGTAATTATTTTGGAAACATTTAAGTTTTAAATTTGTTCTATTTTGAGACAAATATGATTCTTCTACCCTTAGAATTGTTTTATGAACTATTATATATATATATATATATATAATTATTTAGGTCAGATTCTTTTATTTCATTAATATTTTTGAATATAAGAATGTGGACTCACTACAAGAAAACGGTAAAATAGCTGCGGAAAATAAGCGTCGGCTAGCTGACGCTATTTTAAGATATAGTATTGACTTTTCCGACACTAATTTAATGTAAATTTAAATTAAATTAGTTTCAGAAAAATTGACGTTATATCTAAAGAATAACGTCAACTTTTCTAACACTAATCTTAATTTTAATTTAGTGTTGAAAAAGCCGACGCTACATCTTAAAATGGTGTCCGCTTTTCTAATAGTATACATGCTTTGAGAGAGATAAATATAATTTTTTCAATGTTATATATGCATAATGTGTTCTGGTACACTTGGTTATCGACAGCTCAGCCGACACAAAAAAATTTGTGTCGACTTATTTAGCGTCAACCAAAAATCGACGAAAAAATGATAATATTACGTCAGTTTTTATGACCGACTCTAAACTGCAACATTTTTGTAGTGAATAGAGAGTGTTACATATTAACTATCAACCTCGTATACTTATAATTATATGTTTAGTTTTTGTTCCTCTTTGATTAGAATGATTATGAATGTCCAAAACACATAATTGGTTGATTAAATTGGTTGTTTAACTATCCTATATATTAGTTGTGTGTTAAGGGTTCTTAGTGAAATTAGGTTTTCATAATTGATTTGTGTTAACTTTAATTGTGATAAGATTTCCTTATAAGTAAATATTTAACAGAATAAACAAAGTTAGAATTTAAAGTGGAACTCTAAGACCTATGACAAGTGTGCTTGAGGACTCCAAATTTGTACGTGTAGGAACACAAGTCTGTGTTAAGTGAGTAAGTGTAATTAAGGATATCTTCACAAAAAATCAGACTCTAAAGAGTAGAGATAGTTATACTTTGCTTTATGTCATATCATGTTTATTATTAATACTTTACTTTTAAAGTAGTCTATAGTAGAATTATCATGAGTATTTTTATTTTTATTTTTATAACAATCCATATAAATACCTTACTTTCATTAATTGGTTCACGAATCATAGTATCTTTTTTTTTTTTTGCCCTCACTATAGTAATGAAAAGCTTAATAATATAAAGTGTGATTCAGTGATTCACCTTGCATAGTTAAAATTTATTATTGTCTTTATTTGAATATAAATAATAATTGATGATATCAAGTATTTTACTTCTCTCCAAATATTATTTACTAAAATTTATTAATGAGAGTGCCATAGTACTAATTAAAAAAATATTAAATGAAGTAAAATATAACATTTTAAATTTAAAACATGATTATTAAATAATTGAAATCATATATATAGACACTCATACAATTGAGATAATTTTAATTTGGATCCCTTACTTTCAACATACTTGACAATGAAATAATTGTAGATACCTTACTTTCAACATATTTGAAAATGGAATAATTCGTTTATACCTTACTTTCAAGGTGTTAATGACGGAATCATTTTACATTTTTATAAAATTCGAAATTGGTAATAGCTTATGCCTTCAATATTTTGCAGCCGATTTCTTTCCTTCTTGCCCTCTGACTGTTGTAGAATGATGCTGCTTCCAAGTAAGTTCAGAAGATCAATACAATATAATTTTATGCTTTCTTTGTTTCATTTTTTTTAATGTAAAATTTTCTTATTCTCTGTAACTTTCTTGTGGTAATACTCTCAAATTCGTCACTTTTATTTTACAACGAAATATCCTTCTGTTTTTGGCTTACAATCACACGGGCTGCTCTTACACTAAATAATTTCATATCTACTTCTATGTTCTATAGAAATTTGAATCCTCACCTTGAATGAAAATGATTGAGGAATTATTCTTAAATGAAAATGGTTTTAAAAGCTATTATTACGACTTACGAGAGTATTTCTAAGAGTCGTTTGCATTATTATTGAGCCATATGTCTTATCTATTTTTTTTCTTGAATTATCAAAAATAAATGTGCCTTATCTAATTACATAAATTTTACATGAAACTTTCCATCTAACGGTTGGATTTACAAAATTCACATTTAATATAAAGTTATTGAGCGGTGTAACACTTAGTAAAAGTTACACCGGTGTCGTTTGAACCCTCCTCATTTTTAAATATAGGACATAATTAAGAAATTGAAAAAAGTATAGGAATTAACAGATTAAGTTAATTAACCTAATTTTTATTTATAATATTTAGTTATAAGTTAAACTTTAATATTTTTAATACTTCAAAATAATCTTATGGCACATTATAAGAACCCTCCTCTTTAAAAATACTATAAAAAGATCGTTAAACTTTAAAATTTTAATAACTAAATCTTTCACCCGCTAACGCCGTTAAAATTCCGTTTTAGTTTTTTTTACTAGATTTTGTGATATGACGTTACTTTTTAACATAGCAATTAATTATTTCCTCATCGAGTTAGATTAGTCTAAAATGAATCATTAGATCGACATAAAAAAAAATCATTAGAATACTAATGTGAAAAAAAAAACATTCAGATTTTATTTATATTTTAATTTTAATTTCAGCAAAAAAATTATATTTTAATTTTTAAACTCTTTAATATTTTTTCAAGTAACATCTATTCGTAGAAAACTTAAAATTTTTAATAAATAAATATTATTAAAATTAGATACATATAATTTAAAATAAATAAATATTTTTAATATATAATTATACTATAATTAAAATTTATAAAAAAAATAAAATAATTTACTTCTGAACGTAATAGTGCGTTTCATATATTATTTAACATTTTCTTTTATCTGTATTGCGTTTGATAGTTAATTAAAAAGTTGTAATACATTTTTTCAATTACTATTATTATCATCAAATAATAATAGACAAAATATTTATGAATGTGTAAATTAAAATAATATATTAGGTTTACAAAACTGAGAAATTCTTTTGAAAAGCAAAACTTTTTGTCCACATAATTTAAATTTTAAACATAATTTTAAAATTCAATTCAAATTATGTTTCTAGTTGATTTTCTTCGACAAGTGTGCTTTTAGGATTTATCTCAATCTCTTATCTCTCTTAGTTCATCCTTTTTCATTTTTAGTTTTAAATTCAACTTTAATATTTTTAAAATATTAATAATTTAAAAAATTATATTAAAATATAAATTATTTATTGTATATCCAAATAAATTTAATATGTTTAAAATATTTATTTATAATTGTTCCAGTATGCCTAAAAGTCCCACATCGCTTAGGAGTCGAGGCTAAGGGTAGTTATAAACACCCTTCCTCCTTAACCCACCGAGGCGCCTTTTCAAGGACAAAACCGTGACGGCCCAACAAGCGCCAAAGTGGACAATACCTCGGATGCGGTGACCCTAACGATGACAGCGGACTTACGGTAGGAACAATAATAAATTTTAATTATAGTATAATTTTAATATTTGTAAACAATTTTTTTATAAAACATTGCTTAATAAAATATATATTTATCTTATACAGTTCATGGAAAAAATATTAATAAAATTTTGATATTATATCCCCCTCCATATAAATTAGAATAATTATCTTAAATGAGATTATTTTTAAATAACTATTTACGTATCCTTAATATATTTAAAAATATAAATTAACTAAAATTTTAATTGTATAAAATATATATTTATTTTGTGTGGTTTACAAAATAAATATCAAATTAAAATTTTCAATTATGCAGATAAAATGTTATACTTATCATTTTTTTTCTTAGTTTTTATGAATAGATAAAAATTGAAAAAATATATCAAAGAGTTTAGAAACTGAAATATAATTTAAATTATGTGACACAAAATTAATCTTATTTATTGGTAATTTATTTTAAAATATTAAATTTTAATTCACATATAAATATGAAATTGAATTAAATAAAATGTGAAAAGAATTTCTATATAATTATTTTTTATAAAAAAAAGAATTATTAAAAACATTTTTGTATAAGACAAATTTTTATTTTTAATATATAGAATGTTGATTGTAAGGTCACAATATCTAGTCAATATAAATCAACAAAATTTTAATCACAAAATTTTTAAACTATATCGATCGTTTTTTAGTGCTTTTTTTAACCATATGGACTTAATTTAAAATTTAACAAAATTATATTGGAAAAAAATAATTTAACATAAAAAGTGAAACATATAAGAAATTAAAAGAATATATAAAATCTCTCTTATGAAATAAAAAACACTCTAATTTAAAAGAAGTCTCTCAAAAGCTATCACATAAGACAATTATTAATCTTTAACTAGTATTTTAGTTTGTTCATTTCACAAATTAAATATTTATTATATATAACTAAAATTTATAATAAAGTATATATGTATATATATTATATTTGAATACATAAATTATATTTAAAATTTATACAAAATTTATTAGTTTAATATCTTCTTCAAAAATACATTTTAAAATGCATTTCGATATATTACTTTTTATTTTATCTCTAAACTGGTGAATTTCAACAATTTTTTCAAAAAAGAAATATATCGATAATTGAAAACAAATTTATATGACAGTATAGATATTATTTATAAAAAAATGTAAAATGTAATTTATATCTTTAGAATACTTATTTGTTGTAATTTTAATAATAAATAATATAATTTATGTATTGAAATATATGTTTTTCTTTTTAAATTTAATTAAAGAAAGGTAAACATTTATATATAATAATAACAATAATAATAATGATATTATATAAAAGTATAGTCCGTAACCTAAAATGAAAGGTTTTTTTTTTTTTTTTTTTTTTTTGGCATACATGAACGTTGGTTGTTATCAATAATTTGTTATTTCAGCCATAGTCACCTGGATGTCCATGGAAGGGCATAGGAGGCTAGAACAAGTGATCCCAAATTCAGTGCAGAAATGGTGGGATAAATGGGAGCTACGAGGACTCGTTTTGATTAGCCTTGTCACACAGATCATATTGACAATATTGGGTGACCGTAGAAAATGGAAACCCAATATTTTGACACGACCACTTTTGTGGTCTGCCTACTTGCTAGCAGATTGGGTGGCAGCTGTAGCAATGGGAGTCATCTCCAGCAATCTAGGAGACATTTACAACAAAGGTGAACAGCCAAAGAATGTTGATCCTCAACTTCTTGCATTCTGGGCTACTTTTTTTCTGATTCACCTTGGTGGTCCTGATACAATCACAGCTTATTCCTTAGAAGACAATGAGTTATGGCTAAGGCATTTTGTTGGTTTGTTGTCTCAATCAACCCTCACTGTCTATGTAATTATTTTGTCTTGGCAAGGTAATTGGCTTTCACATCTTACCATTCCCATGCTAATTGTTGGGATTATCAAGTACGGGGAAAAGACTTGGTCTCTTTATTGTGGAACTATCAAGTATCTCAGGGATTCTTTCCTTGGTTTAAGTGATTCTTCTAGGAAGAGGGAACAACAAGAAGAACTGGAAATGGATTTTTCGAGGGAAGAACAAAGGAGTTTTCTTCGAGCCATTTATATCTTTGTAAGCCTCTTTGTTGATATGGTTTTTAGTCCACGGGACATTACTGAAGATAGAAACAATTTTCTAACAGGAGTTTATTCGAAATGGAGTTTAGTGGATTCTGAACTTAAATTGATGTACGATGTCTTCTATACTAAAGCATTTGCAAATTATGGCGTATGGGGTTCGATATCACGCTTCATCACTCTAACTACCATTATTGTTGTGCTTGTATTATATGCTTGTCTAAGTGAAAAAAATGAGCACCTGGATTTGGACCACGTCATCACGTACTTGTTGGTGATTGGAGCATTGTTAGCAGATATATATGCTTTTACGTTAGTTCGGATTTCCGAATGGACAGTTCAGTACATGACAATGATGATTCATAGGATGCAATTTTACTTTGAGGACAGTTCAGTTCGGATTGCCATCCTAGATTATTGTTGTGCTTGTTGTCATTTACTTTTGTGGGTTGATTTTTTGCTAATTGTTTTCGTCATTAGCCATTTTGTACCGAATGAGGTTGTTACTGTTGGAGTTTCTTTGGGACAGTGTAACTTCTTCGATTTGATTTCCAACAAAAGTTTGAATTTTCGCAAGTTAGAAGAACTCCCAAGTGTTAAATATTGTTTATCCTCAGATGATCTAAAGAAAGCAATCTCTAAAAGTTTGCGTGATAAATCAGAAGAAGGCGCGCAATCAAACCCTTCAGGCTCCCCAGGATATAGGACTCTTTTATTGGGGAAAAATGCTCCAATTTTCGCAAGTGAACTTGAACTTCATAGAACAATTATTACTTGGCACATTGCTACAGATATGTTTTATAACTGTGATAGCAACTCAAGTTCTAATTTAGAAACAAGGAAAAACTGTAAAGTGATGTCTGATTATATGTTTTACCTCTTGGTCAAACAACGTCAGATGTTGCCAGTAGGTGCGGGGCTGATAACTCTTCAAGACACAGTAATTGAAGCCAAGAAAATTGTAGTTCCACAAGATAGTTTATCTAAAATGAGTGAGATATTACTTCAACATGACACGACCAGAGCAAGAGATGAAGCCTCAGAGATGCAAAGTACATCTGTTCTATTTCATGCTTGTGCAGTTGCAAAACAACTCATTGCTGAAGAAAATAGACAACCAACATGGGAATTTGTTGAAGAATTGTGGATTGAGATTATGAGGTACGCTAGTGCTCAATGTAGAGTAGATATGCATGCTCATCAACTTAGAAGACACCCTGAATTTTTGTCTCATGTCTGGCTCTTTCAAGCTCATCTTTGTTTGTTGGATCAATTTCAAATAACACCCCGCCAGACAAGTGTGTAACTGTGTAAGTGTTAGTCCCTGAATAAGGAAAAGTTAATCCATCATGTAAGTTCAAACATTATGTATATGTTTTTATTTGTAACATCGTGTTGATGTGTTGTATAACATAAAACCACTCTCTAAAGTATTTGACATATTGATTTCTTTGATAAAGTGAATGCACTTACTACTCTAAAATGCACACATTTTTTAGTTATTATTTTAGCCGAATCTACAATCCGCACATTTTGTTTGACAGTTTTATCCATACATTTTGGTTATATAAATCAAGAGCTCTCTTCTTCTTTGTTTGCTTATTCCTTTGCCAAGAATGGCTATTTCCGTTCTTATGATGGAGGAACAGGGACAAAATGCATAATTTAACATATGAAATTTCAAGGCTCGAGTCTATTTGTATCTGTAAGTTCTTATGTCAGGGCCTCTGAAAAGGCGAATATCTAACACTTTTGGCATGAATCCCACTTCTTGAAATTTAATTATGTGCTGGTCCATGCATGAGGGAGTGTGCATGTATCTCTATGTTGTTATTTGTAAGTTGTAACAGCTCGTTTTGATGTGTTGGATTAATGTGGTATGTGTCGAGTCACCAACACTTAAAATTTGGAAACGTTACATTCAATTTTTAAATAACCGTTTTGAACATGCATATAATATAAATCATTACGAAATATCATTTTGTCCCCGGTATGTATATATATACTACAATTGCAAGCTATTACAACACGCCCATGCAAGAAAATTATTTAAAGCAAACCATACTGCCATATAGAATGAAAGAATCTCCTTTTATCCATAGATCCGTGCGGTGGTACACATGAAATGCCAATCAATTAGTGTGCCGATTGACAAATAACTAAGAGTATGTTTGGTTTTAGGTTTAGATATTTAAAAATGTACTTTCACACATTCCGACGTTTCAAATGGCAAAGTAACTATACTTATAAATTCGAAAAAACGTACATTACAATCAACTAACATTTTTCCAAAACACACACTGACACAGTGAAATACATCATTAATAATTCAAGCACCATGAGACTAAATGGAGAAAGGGGTTTAAGTAGCATCATCAGCACCGAGGAAATTCCAAATTTTACATACAAATGGTTATGGAATTAGCTACTGCACTATAATTGTTGAGCATTGGGGGTTACCACACATATATACATGTATCTATATTAGTGAGATATTATTCGTTTTAGACTTTCTATCCTCACGATTTTGCTTTTGGACACCACCCAAAAGGTCTCTCTACCAATGGAGACAACTGTGTGTATATAAACCAATGTTCATTTTGAATGATGTGAAACTTTGCTTGCATCTCCATATTGGTGAGATATTATCTGCTTTGGACCTTCTGCCCTCATGATTTTGTTTTTGGACATCACTCAAAAGGCTTCTCTACTAATGGAGACAATTGTGTGTATATAAATTCATGTCCATTTTAAATGATGTGGAACTTTGTTTGCATCCCAACATTGCTCCCCTCAAATAAAGGACCACAATACCCGGTCACCTGATTAGACCATCAACTCTGATACAATAACTTGTTGAGCATTGAACACCAGGGGTTATCACACATATAATATCTCCACATTTGTGAGATATTGTCTGTTTTGGGCCTTCTGCCCCCACAATTTTTCTTGTGGACATCACCCAAAAGGCCTATTTACCAATGGAGACAATTGTGTGTATATAAACTCATGTCCATCCTCTTGTTTGAATGATGTGAGACTTTGTTTACATCCCAACAATAGTACGGATAAGAAAAACTCCTCCTCACACAATAAGATCACCTACACGTCCAAGAATCTTAAACGGAACACACACATATTTTATTTATTGGCTCTCATATATAGAGTAGAATTATAATACAAAATTTGAATCATATAATTCTCCTAAATAAAAAAAAAATAGGAAACAAATCTTTAAAAGATATCAAAACAAATAAAAATTTGTAAATCTAAATAATATCCTAAATATTACAAATTTCTAGAATATCTCCTTAAAATATTCATTCACTCAATTTATTTGAAATTTAAATTATTTTCCCAACAATAATTTAGCCACAGAGAACATAAAATCTGTCTTCCTTTTATTCACAATTTCTTGACAACAGATGAAATAAACCTATTATATATATCTAGATTCAGCTCCCAACATTTGAGTTTCGTATAAATTAACAGAGGTTAATTACCCAAACGCCTTCATATATATAGGAACATTAATTAGTTAACTGCCATTAGCATGTGATATTTTATAATAGTCTCAGTTCTATAATGCAAAAAGATGAAGTATGATTCTAGTCAGTCTTCATGCATATAAAAAACCAAGGAAACCTTACAGCCAACTGGGTCGTGAAGAAAAACTGGGATAATGAATAAGGAATATTACGTTCATTTCTATATATAACATCTATTTCATTTTTTTATTTATCAACTTTGTTTTAATTGTCAGTTACATTAAGTATATATTCTCTAAAATACTTTTTATTTAATTAATAATTCTGGTAGATAAATTAAAGATAATAAATTCTTAAAATTAATTAGATAAAAAATTTTAATTAGAGAGGATAAATAGACACATACATTTCTCTATTTCAAACATTAATTAATTTGGTGAGAAATGATTAAGTGAAAAGAGAAATAGTTAATTTTAAAAAAGTAATTTAAATTATTATCAAATTTAATGTTCTTAGCTAAATTAACTAATTTTCTTAAATGATGTAGTTTAGTTGAAAGGATTTGATAATTAGTAACAAAAGTAATTTTCATAAAGACTTGTGAAATAAAAATATACAATTGTACATAAATTTTTTGTTTAGAAACTGGAGCATTAAACTAATAATTAAATAAATATAAAAACACAAATGATAAGTTTTAGAAAAAGATAATGAGAACGACTATTGAAATTAAATTTCATTTATCACATTCCTCTACAATCCTAAGATTCCATGAACATGATTCCTATATCTCAATGTTACTGGATTCTTAAAATCGTTCCAAATCAATCCCTTAACTTTGAAAATCTTAAGGATCCTAATTTAATAACCAATTCCTTAATTACCAAATTAAACTCCATCCATTAAGCTCATAAATTTAATCAACTAACAACTCTAAATCTATTCGTAGCATTTATAATTATTAGGTGGTTTGATTCAAATCCAATTCAGATAATATTTTCTAATCACAATCTAAATTTAAAATCATAAGATGAGGAATCAGTTCGAACTCAAGTATTAAGTACAAAATCAAAGCCCTAAAATTTAATAACAAAAAATCATATATATTAATAAAAAAGGATTACATAAGAATTTGATAGATTTATTTTCGACCCCAACAAAAATTGATGATGTTTATATTGAAACTTAGGATTTAGTGTGTTTATTGGTGAAACTCTGTTAAGATGTGTCATTAGGGTCCATAGTTTAGGATTTGTTATTTTGTTTACTTGGTTTATTTCATCTTGATTAGAAACATAATTAGTACTTGAATTTATTTATTATTTTTGGACAACGACTATGATCTAGTAATTATTTTGGAAGCAATTAAGTTTTGAATTTGTTCTATTTTGAGACAAATATGATTCTTATATCCTTAGAATTGGTTTATGAACTATTATATATATATATATATATATATATATATATATATATATATTTTTTTTTT